ACTCAGGCATCCCGCTTGAATGTCCCACCCGCCCGACCCGCCCGTCAGGGGATCGCCCGCCCGTCGTGGGCTCCCGCCCGAGACTTCCTTCAAGAACGGCGCTTTCTCCTAGGACTTCTTCGAACGTTCACGCTCTTACCTTCCTGCTTCTCCTCACTCTCCCTCCTCCCTCCTCTCCTCCCTTCTCTCTCCCTCCTCTCTTCCCTCATCCTTATGCCTCTCTGCCCTATCCCCTCTCCCTCCTCTCCCTCTCTTCTCCCTCCCCTCTCCTGCCTCCTCCCTCCCTCTTTCTTTCTCTCTCTCTCTCTCTCTCCTCTCTCTCTCTCTCTTCCTCTACCTCTCTTATATGTCCTTCTAGTTGTTTCTCTCTCTCTCTCTCTGTCTCTCTCTCTCTCTTGTTGTTGTTGTTGGTGGTGTTGGTGTGGGTGTTGGTGTTGTTGTTGGTGTTGTTGCTGCTGTTGTTGTTGTTGCTGTTGCTGTTGCTGTTGCTGTTGTTGTTGCTGTTGCTGTTGCTGTTGCTGTTGTTGCTGTTGCTGTTGTTGTTGCTGTTGCTGTTGTTGTTGTTGTTGTTGCTGTTGTTGTTGTTGTTGTTGTTGTTGTTGTTGTTGTTGTTGTTGGTGTTGGTGTTGGTGTTGGTGTTGTTGTTGTTGTTGTTGGTGTTGGTGTTGTTGTTGTTGTTGTTGCTGTTTGTTTGTTTTTTGTTGTTGTGTTGTGGTGGTTGGTGGTTGTTTGTTGTGTTGTTGTTGTTGTTGTTTTTTGTTGTTTTTGTTTGTTGTGTTGTTGTTTTGTTGGTGTTGTTTGTATTGTCGTCGTCCGTCGTCCCAACGCGACCCCCCCCGCGGCGGGAGCGATAACGGGGGGGAAGGAGGGGCGAAGGGAGGGCCGAGGGGGGGACCCACCCCACCCGCGACCCACCCCGCGACCCCACCCGCGACCCACCCCGCGACCCACCCCGCGACCCACCCCGCGACCCAACCCGCGACCTACCCGGGACCCACCCCGCGACCCACCCGCGACCCCACCCGCGACCCACCCGCGACCCACCCCTCGACCCACCCGCGACCGCTTCCGCGACCCATCCGCGACCCATCCGCGACCCACCCGCGACCCACCCCGCGACCCACCCGCGACCCACCCCGCGACCTACCCTCAAGGAAGGCAAAACCACCCGGACCCGACAATTGACGTTTACTGAACGGCCTTGGGCATTGACTAAACAGCCGTGCCTTGTTCGATTCATTCCTTGTGTGCGTTCGTTGCGTTCCGGGGTGATTCCTACGGGGTGGATTTTCTGCCCGCGACCCAACAGCAACCCACCCGCGACCCACCCGTGACCTACCAACATTGGTTTAACGAACAAACAGGGAACCTACGGCGGGCTCGTTGTATAATTTGTGAAAATTTGGCGCCTGCGGCGGGCTTCTCCAGAGTCTCGCAAGCTGCCGACGTCCCCACCGCCCCCCTCACTCTTATCCGCATATGCGGGGTGCTATGTATATACACATATGTGCATACAGAGAGAGAGAGAGAGAGAGACAGAGAGAGAGAGAGAGAAACAGAGAGAAAGAGAGAGAGAGAGAGAAAGCACTTCGCGGGGGCGGTCGCGGCTGGGTCGCGGCTGGGTCGCGGCTGGTCGTGGCTAGGTCGCGGGTTGGGTCGCGGCTGGGTCGTGGCTGGGTCGCGGGTGGGTCACGGGTGGGTCGGTCGCGGGCGGTTTGCGGGTGGGTCGCGAGTGGGACGACATTAACATCAATTATGCGAATATTGTTCGTTCTTATTTACTCGCGTGCCATTCAATACGTATGCCCTAAACCCTCGATGCCCACCTTCTGCGTCTTTGATCGTACCCCCTTGGGGGTATATTTTCCTTCATTGCCTCGTGTAGATGGCGAAGCCCCAAAAACAGGACAAGGGAGGACGGACACAAGAGGGAGGGCGAAGGATGGAGCACGAGAGCGAGAGATTAGCAGGGCGGGGCTAGAAACAGAAAGCGCGTGGCAGAACCAGATGGGCATATCGGGCGGGTTGACTCTAACGGGCAGGTCGGGAAGGTGTGCCCAGGCGGTCAGGTCGAGCAGGCGGGTTGCTGAAGCGTGAGTCCTGCATCAATCGCGAGGAACTCTCGAGCGATAGCACGATTCCCAAGTAAATCGTAGGAAAGGCCAGAACGAGAGCGTGATTCCTGAGTGTCGAAGGCGCGGCGTCTGACCAAATTGTGAGGACGTGCCACGCAAGAGTGCGATGCCTGCATACTTTGTATTCAAGTCCCGCTCGAGAGCGCGATTTTGACATGACCTGTGACGAAGTAGCAGCGGGAGCCGTTGTTGCTGTTGTAAACCGAGGGCCAGGGTCACAATCATAGCCTCACGATTTTCCATTGTAAAACCAGGTGCGAGTCCCAGGAAGAGCAAGTTGATTAAAAACCGTAATGGGCACCCGGGGGGTTTAACAATATTTGTTCTTCAGCACTGAGAATTCAACATCAATCATTCTGATAGTGCTCGTCCTTATCTTCTCGCGTGCCATTCAACAGGTGTATCTCATATCCTCGGTGCCCGCCTTCTTCGTCTTCGATCGTTCCCGCTTCGGGGGGCGTGGCTTCCCTGCCTGCCGCTTGATGCTGGCGCGACCCTTGCAACAGGAGAAGGAAGGGAGGAGGAAAGTGAGAAGGGGGAGGGAGGAGGACGGAGCACGACAGAGATTTGCAGGAGGAATGCTGGCTGCAGAGGCACAAACGGCAAAACCAGACGGGCGGGTCGGGCGTAGGCTCCCACGGGCAGGTCGGGCAGGCGGGCCCAGACGGCCAGGTCGAGCGGGCGGGCCGCTGCAGCGTCAGTCCACAATGGAGGAAGTTTCGGGCGATAGCGCGTCAAGTAAATTGCTGGGAAATCGAAAGCGAACGCGTGATTCCAGGGTCTGGGGGGCACGGCGCTGCAATACATTGCGAGGGGGTTGCCGCGCGAGAGCGCGACTCCTAGATGAATTGTGAAGAAGTCCCGCGCGAGAGCGCTATTCTCAAATACGTTGTGAGGAAGTATCAGGCGGGAGCCGTTGTTGCCCGGGGGACAGGGGGCCAGTTTGAGCACCACAATTTTTGTTGATAGAGATAAACAAGGCGCGAGACCCAGGAAGAGTATTTGAATTGGAAAATCCATGTGCGCCGGGCAGGGGGGCTCAACCACAATTGTTTTCATGAAGTGAACATTCAACCATCCGCACCGCGGGACCCCTCTTTCAGTCACGCACCCAGGGACAGTGAATGCACGCTCGGCCCCCTCATTCAAGTACACCCGTGAGGGCTTCGCCTCTATGTTGCCGGCCCCCTTCTCTTAGAATAGGACTTGCCAGAGCTGTGTTGGGATGTTTGGACGCTGACGTGAAGCAACGTCGGGACTTCACGCGAGGGCCAATATTAGGTTACAAGGGTTTCTGGCTTCGGTGGCGCGAATACCAGGTAATTCACAATGGTGTATTGGTTCGGGGACGCGAGTATCGCGTGTTGTACGAGGGTTTGCGCGTACTGTACAACGGCGTATGGCCTCGGGGGCGCAAGTAGTCTTCAGTGTGTGAAGGTGTGCGGCCTTCGGGACGCGACTAGACTATCATTTTATCGAGCCTGTGGCCTCGGGGACGCGAATGTTGATTCATCTTCCAGGGTTCATGGGTCCGCGGGCGCGAACATCCCGTACGGTAGGTTTGCGTCGTGTCGACCATCGGCGACCCCGCCGCGGGCGTTCAAGGTTGAACGCCGCCAGTGGCCCAGAATCGGCCTATATGGAACGATCGGGCGATCGAAAAGCCGCCGATCGTTCAAGGTTGAACGATCCACGCGGTGTCAAAAACCAACGCCGGGGTCGTCACGACACGAACTTGCCGTAATTTACACGGGTTCATGGTTTCGGGGGCACGCGAATATTCAGTAATGTACCAAGGTTTATTGCTTCGGGGACGCGACTACTGCGCAATTCACAAGGCATTGAGGCTTCGGGGACGCGAGTATGGTTTAATTGACTGGGAATTCTGATTTCGGGGGCCCGAGTATCACGTACTTTTACGTGTCCCACGACCCCCCTCGGAATTCAGACAACGCGATTCGGGGACGCTAACCAGGACGTTCTTCGGTTCCCCCCGCTCAAGCGTTCAGCAACAGTTGGTAGTAAGGAAGCAGAAAGCAGGAGTGCAACAGTGGGGACTGGAAACTGCAACTGGCACAATGAGCTGCAAGCTTAATCTTCGCAGCCTGATGGCCCCGCAAGGGGGCTGGTGGATATATATGTATATATATATATATATACACACAAGTTGTGAACTTAGGGACATTGAGATGTACGAATACGGATCGGGATGGGGATGGGGATAGCGATGTGGACACAGGACAGGGGTTTGGATTAAGGGGATATGGATGAAGGCAGATGGGTAGAGATAGGGATACAGTTTTTGCTGGGGACTTAGATGCGGATAAGCATTAGACTGGGAATAGCAACGGCAGGCAACGGAGGCAACGGTCAGGAGGGGAAAAAAAACACAGACACAATTAATCGTCGATTCCCCAGAAAATATTGGAAAATATGGGAATAGGGGGGAAAACAAAAACTACAAAAAAATATAGGAAAATATGATGAAATATGTTTATTTGCGTGTATTTGTTTGTGTGTCCCAGTTCCCCTTCAAACAGGTAGCCAATGGGAGGCAGTGCGAGGCAACCAGAGGTAGCTGGAGGCAGCGGGGGGCAACCCGGAGGCCACAGAAGGCCACGGGAGAGGCCACGGGCCACGGGAGGCAACCAACTGGAGGCAACAGGAGGCAGCGGGAGCAGGAGCAGGAGGAGGAAGAGGAGGAGGAGGAGGAGGAGGGGAAGAAGGAGGAGGAGGGGGGAGGAGGAGGGGGCAGGACAAGCTAGCCCAGTACGCTCGAGTCATATCTGACGTCCTACCCCTCCCTCCCATCCCTTACCATGGCGCTGATTTTCTCTATCCGCGGACGCGTGTCGTAGCGGACCT